AGATTTCTACACTCACTAAGGTATGCAACCTTAGTCTTTATAATGATTGAGTGTTTGGCTTACTCTCATGGAGAGAATGTTAATGTTGGTACACTCACTAAGGTTTTGTTCCTAAGATATATGTAAAGATGACACCAGGTGAATTATTAAATATACAAATATATTGATTTAATGAAAGCTTTCATGTTTAATAGAGCAAGCTAGTCGTATATATGATATATATTGTAATAAATTTAACACAGTTCCAACCAAAATTAGCCATGGATAAGAACCAGTGACTGGCCAGGTCCACCAGTTAGATCATAAATAGTTGTAGACTTAAAATTAAAACCTCAATTTTGCAAATGTGAATTAGCAATTTAATGAAATTTATGTCGCTTAAAAGTTAAATGAGGAATAAATCTTATGCACATGGCTTTAAGAGGAATCACAAGCCAAATGCAGCAAGCAGTTTGATGAGCATGTAGGCCAAATGAAGCAAACAATTTACATGTGCAGTAGTAACTCTAGATAAGTTATAAATTACAATCGCAGTATTATATCCTGTGTCCGTATGTACATTGATTTGAATTAATGAAATGAAGTATCAAATGGTTTAAATTTTTTTTTTAAAAATTTGTAGATTTGATCTATAATTAAGAACTTTAAATTCAACGGTTGGATCGTTGCAATTTGATGTAGAACATTAGTTATTGAATGGAGTAAGTCTAGGTAGACTTACTTCGGGAGTAAATGGATCTCTTTATATATATATATATATATAGAGAGAGAGAGAGAGAGAGAGAGAGAGAGAGAGAGAGAGCAACTCAAGTGAGAACAATTAATATCAACCCTTGGGTTAAAATTGACAACTTAGATTAAAAGATTACATACAAAACTATCACTTGCTTGTAAGTTTGTTTTAACCATGAGTTCTCAAGTAGTGAGAGCCATAATTCAGAATTATGCTTTAGCACTATACCTTGCAATAACATTATGTTTGTTTTCCATGAAATAAGTTTTCTTCCAAAGAGAACAGAACAACCAAGGTTAATCTTCTATCATTGTGAAATCCATCCCCGATTGATTTCAGTATAGGCAACAATGTTGTTTACTTTTGGTCATAACTGTTGATGCCGTAATTTGTTGATATTTAAGTCTAAAAGTTGTGAAAATGGCTGAAAGATTATTTTTCCCACTGCCAAATAATTATTATATTTGTCTGCATATTCCTATAGCATAATATTTACCGGTATTATGTATCATATAGAATGTGATATATGTTGCAGTTAAGAGTATAAGGAATTTGAATGGACACAGCATTGGTCGCTACCAAATCCATGCTGGAAAATCTGTTCCCATTGTGAAAGGTGGGGAGCAGACAAAGATGGAGGAGGGTGAATTTTTTGCTATTGAAACCTTTGCATCAACAGGTATTACGATGTTTCTTTGGGTGTTAGATTGTTATATTGCCTCTGAATAATGCAGGTTGTAATTGGTATTTAAATGTTATGTGTGTTATATTTAGGGAAAGGCTATGTACGAGAAGACCTTGAGTGCAGCCACTACATGAAAAATTTTGATGTTGGTCATATTCCACTGAGATTGCCCAGAGCCAAGCAACTGTTAGCAACTATTAACAAGAACTTCTCTACTTTGGCCTTTTGTAGGCGGTATTTAGATCGCCTAGGAGAGACTAAATACTTGATGGCATTAAAGAATTTGTGCGACTCTGGCATTGTTCAGGTACGCTTCAGGAGTTATAGACACCAAAGAATTTTGTGGATATGAAGAATTTTTAAACTTAAAAAGATCGAATGCATGCAACGGTTTCAATAAAGAGTGAATGGTGTCTGAGGGAGTGTTTGTTAGCTGTGATCATTATTGATATTTTAATATCTTTGATTTGTTTTTTTGGTATTATGATTGATTTGACTCTGTTCTATTCCAATATTTTAACTCCAATCCGTTAGCAGGTTACATTTCAATGCTGACACGAAGTTCTGGTTAACATAATTATATGTTCTTTTGAATGTAAATTAAACTATTTAAACTTTTTAAAAACATTATCATCCAGTGTCCTGTAACCTATGTGCATGTGTTTGTAGGACTATATAGTTTATTTCTGTTTTAGTACGAAGCATGGACACAGATAGGGACAAACGACTGTGCTTGTCTAATACTTGACATGTCTCGTGTACCAGTACCAGTAACGTGTCACCCCCTTTGAAAAAGATGTATTATTTCTATTGACATTTTTCAATAAAAAAGAATCTTAAACGTACTTAGCCTCGTGTATAAGTACTGTCGGAAAAAAAGTCAGATTTTAAATGGCTGGATCGGAGCTGTGTTCTGAAAATTTTAAATTGGACACAGATTGACATGTATCTAAATCGTGTTTTCGATTGCAAGTGTTTGAGTTGGGCATGTCTGATAATATACTCGGCACCCAAATGGTGTTCAAATGTTCATGCTTTAAAGGTTTATTTGTCATATTCAACTTCCAGTTGGGGGGGGGGTATATCTTTTTAATTTTGTATGTCGCTGATTTCTTAATTTTAACTGAAATTCTTGTGAAGGACTAATATTTTTTAATTTTTAATTTTAATTTTTTTTATGCAGCCTTATCCTCCTCTATGTGACGTGAAAGGGAGCTATATATCACAATTCGAGCATACAATCTTACTCCGACCAACATGCAAAGAAGTTATATCAAAGGGTGACGATTACTAATGTGGATTTGAAGATTTTTTAATGTGTTTTTTCGTTGTACCATTATCTTTTTGAACTGTTTTTACATTATCATGAACACTTTGGTTTTATAACTAGATGTATGCCTATGGAGGATGGCATTATTTAATAATTGGTATATTTCCTCAATAGACAATATCTTATTAGAAGGTCCACCCAAAACAATACTATTTTACACTTTGGTTTTATAACTAGATGTATGCCTATGGAGGATGGCATTATTTAATAGTTGGGATATTTCCTCAATAGACAACATCTTATTAGAAGGTCCACCCAAAACAATACTATTTTACAGGACACCATCCCGTTAACATACTTTCTTGGTCACGTAAAATTACAATGTCAAGTGGGATGTCTTGGTGCCAGTATATTTGGGGCAAATTTGAGTTTACCGCTAAGTGTTCAAATGGCAAATGTACAATTAGGATTATAATTTTAGTAACATAAATATAAAGTTGAAGGAAATTATTTTTCAAAGTATTGTCTGTTCATGATTATTTGCAAGCATCTCACTAGACAGGATGTTATTGTTTCACTGGTCTTAAACTGTGCGGATCAATTTTGAATCCAGGTCACCAAGGTCCCTTTATGTCATTTCCGGGATTCCCCTTTTCTATTCACTCCATGAGGATGATGGTTTTGGTGTTGCTTTCTCTTGTATGATTGTTTGGTTTATTGGCACACACATATTGGTAACTCAAGTGATAATCCTTTTTGAGAACAACCCTTTATATTACTATATATATTGTTGTCACTATGTTGTGTGTGATCAATTTACTTAAAGTATAGCTCTTAGTAGTTATTTCAATTATTGACCATCGATCTATACTAAATCTTAACTATGAAATTGAAAGTTCTTATCAAATAGATTTAGATAAAAAAATTTGAAAATTATTAATATTTTCTTAAATTAATAGAAATTTATGTATATTCATAAAATTATATTATATGTTAATTTGAATCTATATAATAATTTTTTTTATAATTTTCAATTTGTAAAATTTGTATGACCTAATTTAATGATTGGATTATTAAAATTTTAATATAGATTATTGATAGTTTCTGTTGAATTAAGTATATATTTGTTTTTCTCTAAATATCTTTTATGTATGACTCATCTACAATATTTTACAACGTATGAGAGTACTATCTTTATGTGAGTTTGATTTAAGATTTAGATGTCTACAAGAGGTAAGTATTTTATGTAATTATGTTGGTGTTCTAAATTGTAGTATTGATCTAATAAATAAAAAGTGTTTGTTATGAAAGTTTTGATTAGATAAAAAACCATTTACCAAAAAGTCATTAGCTTAATTGATTCGACATTGTTAGAGTAATATTTTACTGTTTTGTATTTTATGTGTTTATCTAAGTATGGGTTGTTGTATTGTACTTGTTTGTTAGTTAGTTAGCTTTCCTAGTAAACACATGCCAATTTGATAGCTTCTCTCTTATATCATTAATTGAAAATCATTTTTCATCATGTAATATATAGATTCGATTCTCTTAATATGGTATCAAGAGCTAGGTCAACTTTTCATCCATAACTTCCTTTTTTCCCTCCTCCTTCCCCACCACATTTCTTCATATGTCTTCTAATGCCATTACATTCTGTGACACTGTTTTAGAGAAACTTGATTCAAAGAATTATTTGCTAGTGTCAAGAAGTTAAACCTGTAAATTGCAAATAGTTTTTTATAAATCTTATAATCCCTCCAAACATGGTATCTCTTGAAGATTGCAATGATGATCACATCTTCAAGGAGTATCTTGCTTGGGAGCAACATGATCAATTCCTTTTATCTTAGTTATTGTCGATGTCGCGTGAAATGCTGCCGTGCAATTGCTTGTAAATTTACTTGGCAACTGTGAGATAAAATCCATGTTTTTCACTCGCATACAAATGTGAAGGCACGACAACTTCAAATGAAGCTTCAAAGTGTTATACGGGGGAATCACACTATTTTGGAGTATCTCATTGATAGCATTTTCAAGTAAATTTCAATAGACCAACAGTGCCTAGTCGGCTAGTCCTTCACCAACATTGCATGGAAGGTCACAACTATTGGTTCATTTGGTAATGGTGTGTGGTATCCAGACTCTAACACATTACATCAAGTGTTACTGAATTCTTGTTGCTTGTTTCGACTATAAAAAACTTATGATTGTTAATTTGCTAAAGATAATTTTCTTTACTTTGAGTTTCACTCCTCTCTTGTATTGTTAAATCATATGCAACACGTAAAAACAGTTGGGCTGGTATTAGTTTTCATCACCCTCTCCTCAATTTAATAGATCGTGCTAGAACAGTTAAAGTGGATAACTTGACTTGGGTCATCATGTGTTAGACAATAGATGGGTCAACCTAATTTGAATCACCTTTGGTGAGCTTAAAAAAAAGAGGTTGATCCTACCCACCACGAGTTGATGAATTAAACAAGTTAACAAACTTAAATTAAAAAAAACTGAACTTTATAAAAAAAAATATATTATAGTCTTATATTTTATAATTACAACTATGTTAACAATATGACAAAAAAAAAACATGAATCACAACCAACTTAATCAACTTATAATATTAAAGATTTACATAAAATATCAACAAATAATATTAATGTATAATCACATAAATTAACATTTGAAAACTTAAAAAATATATTTTTTTACTAGATTGGCCAACCCGTGAGCGAACTCAATTCACTATGAGTTGGCCTATGGTGGGGCAAGTTGTATGTAGGTCATGTCAAGTTTTTCTTACAACTAAAATGTACCAAATCTTTTTGACTCAAGCAACTTGAAATTTATGTGGGCCTAGTTGGTTCATGGGTTCCAATTCATTTAGATGAAGTTGAAATCGGGTATTATTCGTCAAAATTGAGATGAATTCAGACATGTTTATTTGCCATTCCTACTACATATACTGTATTTATATTTATTGTAATGATTTTTAATTTACATTTACTCTTTGATTGATTTCTTCTCTTTTCTGCTTCTTCACTCCGACTTTATTTGGAACCTACCAATTTGTACGTGTCGAAGGTGGCTTTCCCCATGAAGATGAACATATGCTATTAATTAATCATAACTTTTTTAATTAATTAATTAATTAGTTTTTGTGTCCATCTGTTTTTTGGTTAACATAACTTAACCATTTCTCTAATTGAACCATCTTGTATTGTTACTTTGTCCATGTAGAACTAGTTAGAATTAGGCAACCTCTTCCTTAATTTAACAAATCTTTGTACAAAGCATGAATTGTCTCCTAGTATTGAATATGTAGTGCTAGGCATTTTGCAAAATATGCACATATTGACAAAAATTATTAATTTCTAACACGCATATTGAATTGATATATAAATTTCCAACTTTATCATTTTTAATAAATTATGAGTTAATTGAGTCGGTATGAGAACTTGATCACATTATTCATATATTAACTTGGAGATAGATGTCAAATTCAAATTAATTTTTGTACCAACTTGGTCAAGAATACAAACTTGGGTAAGGGTTTCACCAAGTTAATATGTTGACCTTTATTAATAACTAGAGAACATATACAATAAAGTTGGCATATCAACTCGATATTCATATTTATGATTCAAAGAAAAGTAGTTTATCAATACATCGGTATGGAAAGTTACTAGATCATAGAAAATGAACAATAACAGTTAACAATAAGGAAGTTACATATAACATAAAGAGAGGGAATATTTGGTAGATTAGTCTAACATGGAGTCCTTTTTATAAGTACCTTTGTCATTTGGAATGAAGAACAAAGACCATCTCATTTGACATCAATTCACAAGCACAAAGGGGGATCTTATTAGATAACCTTGTCATTTTTTATTTCTTTGGCAAGTGTACCAAATCATACATGTAGTTCAATAATAAGTATGATTATCGTCTCTCAAGGTACTTGAACAAGATAAATGTTATGAGAAGTCTTTTTATTAGACTTTTTACGAATACTTAGAATGCAAAAACTAGTTATAACACAATAATGAAAGATGGGGTTCAACTTCACCAAAATTTTCTCTCATGATTACAAACAAACTCAAACTATTTAATTATGATTCAGAATTTATCAATCACTCTCAAGTATAACCAACCCTAAATTCTTTACAAGTTTGAATCTAAATCCCTTGATTAGTTTATCAATTTGTTAAATAACTTGTTTCTACTTTGAACCATTTATTATGAAAACTTATCTTTTATACAAACTAATATCTAATTTTGATGTTGCCTTCTTATACACTTTTTAAAAAATTATATTCAGTGATTACTAACATTTGTCAATAAAAAAAATTGTATTTGAATATAAATTTTTAACCAATTTATAATAAAAATCTTATAATATAACATATAATAAAATTAATGTTGTTTTTTTTTCTTCTTATGTGTATATTATTAATATTAAAATAGATTAGAGTAGACATATATTTATTTGTGTCCCTCCCTCTGAGTGATTGTCTCCCCTCTGTTCAAATTTGTTTTTTTTTTTTTTTTTTTTTCCCCCCCCCCTTTTTAAATTGAATTTTTTTTTTTTTTTTTTTTTTTGCCTCCCTCTCTTTGTAATATGAAATTTCTTTATTTGTCCACACCCAATGCCTCCTATGTATCTTGCGTTTCTTTTCTTTTCTTTTGTCTTTGCAATTCCAAGACGATTGTGGATTGCTTTTGCTTCTTTGATTTTGAATTGAGCTTGATTCTTCTTTCAATTTCTTTGATTTTTGTTTTCTTCTATTTAGAGTGCAATGAGACTGGACTCCTTCATTGTATTTATTGTTGTTTTTATTTCAATGTCTATGTCTTGGTTCTTTCTTGAACTTGCATTTTCTTGTTTTCAAGATCGAATTTTTTTTAATATTTTTTTTTATTTTTATTTTTTTATTTATTGATTTTAATACGGATAATGATTGGATAAAAGAAAAAAGAATGATGTGGTCATTTATGACATAGGTTAATATAAACTCGATCACTAATGTTTTGTGTGTTCATTTGTGCACCAATTATTTTAGTTTAAGGAATGTTGTTTGGTGGTAAAGAGGTGGGCTTTTTTCAATTATTTTTTGATTTCCCTTTTCTGGGTTTGGATCAAGATTTTGAGATTAGGAACTTGTGTTGCAGTTTCAACTTAGAGTGGATGAAAGAAAGCTACAATCTGTTCGTTTCAAGACCCAGGTGCATTCTGGTAATGAGCAAGTCATAAATGATGTGTGATTTGTTTTGAATTTTATGGTGCATCTGTGGGAACTTAAATATGACTATTTGGTATTGGATTTGAATATTCAATGATACTAAGTTATTGTGTACTTCAACTTTGAGGTACATGATGTCACTTATGTATATGATTTTGTGTATTTTTTTTTGTTTAATGCCATAATTGTATGT